ATATATATATATATATATATATATATATATATATTGTCCTTTTTCTTTTCTCTTAAATAAAAATTATTATTAAAATATATTAAAATTAATTAATAACTAATATTTTAAGTTTCCATAGTAGAATGTTTACAATATAATTAATGAAATGAGAATTATTAATAGTATACCTTTTTAAACACATATAAATTGTTTCAGTTCAAATTCTTGAGATGAAAATAAAGAAGGATTTTAGGTTATTTTATATTTAATCCAATTAGTTGCATGTAGGGATTATTATATTTTATACATCTATTTTGTTTTTATACTACCAATTTATTAACAAAGAGACAGTAAATAGATTTAGTATTCCATTTTTTCAATTCGAAATTGATATAAGAAGTAGAGATAGAACTCCAGATATTAATTGAAATTATTAAAGATATTGTAAAAAAATTATAGAGTTTACTTTTGATTTCACAAGTCTAACCTATATGAAATACCCACAGATAATTTAAAAAGATACCTTTTGAAATACAAAGTAAATGTATTATAAAATGTATTTTTCTCTTTCATATTTCGTGATTTAGGGTTTCTATTAGATTAAATTTGGGTACTTTTTGTTTTTTCATTGGAAGGGCAGAGAAGAGAGGGAAAATGGGTTTCATCATGGAATTTGCGGAAAACTTGGTATTGAAGTTGATGGAAGACCCGAAGGAAAGAGATCGGAGGTTCAGGGAGCACGTTTATAGAGTGAAGGACAGGTGCGAGAAGACAAAAGAGATGTGGAGCTACCCCATGCGGCCCTATGGTTTCTGGACATTCGAACGCCACAATTCTCAGCTTGCATGGGATGCCCAAATTAGCCAAGTTCCTGGTAGGAGGGACCCTTATGATGATCTCCTCCAACATTACTCCGCCCCACCTAAATGAGGTATTATTCTCGAAAACCCTAATTTCCAAGTATGCACTTTTCAAATCTAAAAGCAAAAGTAAATTTTGTTTTAGTTTTTTTTTAATATTCGTTTCCTTTTCTTTGGTTAAATTTTGTTGTCTCTTTGATAGTCGGTTACTGTATAGAGGTTATGTTAGTACTTCGAGGCTGATGTTTTAACTGGTCTACATGCTCTTATTAGTTATGAATGCATTGTGTTTTTGGTGTGCATTTAGAGATTCACAGCTTTTTTAACCCTTTGGGTTGAGATTCTGGAGTTGGTTAGAAGGAGAGTTGATGGGGAATCTATGCACCTGTCACTGCTATGGTCCAATTTGTTATATAACATGACAAACTTTGTCTTTAGTAACTGAAGTCTAAGGGGTAATGATTTTGTCTTGGTTTTAAATTAGTTCCTTATAGTCATCTCGGGGCAAGCTGAATGGCATGAATGAAATGACTTGGTCCTTTATAGCTCCGGGTCTCTTTTATTACATTTAAAAGTGAGTTTTTGATATTCCTTTAAAAAACCGAAGTCAGTGAGAGATATTATGATAAGCTATGTTTGCTTCAATGGGACTCTATTGAGCCTATTATTTTGGGCAATTTCAGAACCCCAAACTCGTGCTTCACCTTCAGGAACAAAATGAAGAGCTGGTGTCGTGATGCATGTATTTTGCCGATATATAGCTAGATGGAGTGTTGAGAAAGAAGACGAATGGAAAGGTAGAGATGTGGAGACATGCTTTGAGAACACAAATTTTGTGTAAGTAGATGTTAAACATAGTGTTTGAATGTACGTTAAGCAGAAGGGGCACTGGTTTGACCTTATAGTTAAAATGGGAGGCCATACCTTATGTCACATGATTGAAGTGGCTTGGAACCACGGTACTTCATGATGAGAAAATAGAGAGGAAGATAATAAGCCATACAACTCAAACGGTTGAGAGAAATGAGCGAGCGCTGTAAGCATTGTTAGTGATAGAAAAGTACCACTAGAGATTGAAGGAAAATTTTACTGCATAAATATAGGAATCGTTAAGTCATATAGTATTGAAGAGTAAACTGTCTATTTGGTCCTATATTTGTAGGAAGTTGTCACATTAATTAAAAAATAATGTGACTGAGGCGACGATACTAACATTAATTTGGAGACTAGAATGATGGTAACTATATAAGTTTTAAGGACTAATATGATGGTGTCTTCCACTTTCAAGGACCAAAGTAACCACTTACTTAGAACTGAATACTAAAGAGTAATAAGCAACAAGGAAATAAGCATGGTAGTGCAAATGTGAAAATATTATAATACATGAGTAGAAGCACTAGATAATAAATATAATTAGAAATGATTGCATTAGAGAGGGTGATGGAAACCTCTTCAAGCAACTTGATGAAGCCTCCGTGGAGATGAAGAAAGATGAGCGGAAGCCATGAATTGATGAAGGAAGATAGGCATGTAAAGTGGGTTTTGGGATGCTCTTGAAGGAGGTTAGGCCAACCTACAAGTAAAAGGGTTAAGAAGAGTCTTTGTAGAAGACAACCTAAGTGAACTTAGAAGAAGAGAGAATGCAATTTGGCATAATGTCTCTAGTGTTTATTTCCAAGTTCAAAAAATTACAAATGGTAGAGCATTCCTTTTATAGGTGAAGGAGTGACTCTAGAAAGGACTAAAGTTCATGAATCTAAAGAAGAATACATTGAACTACAAAGGCTCTTGAATCTGCCAATGTCGAAGGGGGATGAATGAGGCTTTCTACTTTGGATGAGACTAGATTCAAAGCATGGGAGCCTTCTCTCTCTTTTTAGAAGAACCTTAAGGCTTTAGCAAAACCCATAAGAGGTGCTCTCCTTCTCCAAAGCCCAAATTGACGCAAGAAGCTCAAGAACTAGCCCGATTGACTACATCTTGACAGTTCTGACCTTTGCCAACTGTTTGACTCATAATTTTTTATGCAGAATTCCAAATGAGCTGATTGTTTTTTTGTTGGAAACTAGACTCAAAGGGCTTTCATTCGACTATGGGCACATATTTTCTGGACCTCTGAGTTAGATCCGGTTAAATTTCCAAAATCTTCAACTTTTTCTAAGTTCCCTGGATGGGTAGGTCCTTGGCCCAAATACAACACCTAATGAAAGACATATGTACATTTTTACAAAGCTTAAGAGAATGGTAAAAACAAGCTTGAAACACCATCTTCCACAAGAGTAAAAGTCCTTGAAGTCCTTCTTTCTCCATTCTCCTAGCCCTGGTACAAGTTGTAGCTCCATGGATGGATCTCCTTCAAGCTCCTTAGATGGGTTTCCATCCCTCTTGAAAAACGATCTTTCCTCAAATCGGAAAGGTATTTAAGGGACCATAACTCCTAGTTCTTTATTTCCTCCAGGATCAAAGATGTACCTGTAATAACCATTAAACAGAAGATGAATGAGTTTTTGTCCCATGGTAGATGTATATCTAAAGTAAAGAACAAATGATTAAAGTTTTTTTGTATTTTCGAAATGATTTTCCTTTACAAAATTTAAAACTTCTGATTCACTAGAATGAGAGTCATATAGGCTTCCAATGTGTTGATCTTTCTAAACCATTATTCTTTTGTGAGGATACTCAAAAGAAATGTTCTCTCTTTCAAAGCACTTGAAGCACTGAACACCTCTTGTTTTAGTTTCTTTGGATTTTTTTTAAAAGTAATAAGACCTATTTTACAAGAAAGTTTTTGTCCACCTTGAGTTATTCGTAACTTGTTATGCAAAAATAACTCAAAGTGTGATTTTTCAAAAGCTATTCAGAAGTTAAAAACAATGGGGAGTGAAAGTGGAGTTAGATTTTCAAAAGTAAAGAAATGAGAATCATTAATGAAATGGTAAGAATTCAAAGATTGAAAAACTCTCTTTAAAACTCTTGACTAAATTATAATTGTGGGAGTAGGAGGTGCCTTGAGTAGCTTGGAAAACTCCCTTTAAAACTCTTGCTTGAATTATAATTGTGAGAGTAGGAGGTGCCTTGAGTAGCAATTCTTTTTTGAGTCGGATTTCTTCCCTCTCCTTTTCGCTTCTTTCAAGTTCTTCTTTCTTTTTCTTTTCTCTCTTCTCTCTTCTCTCTCCTCCCTTTCTCTTCTCTCATTTTCTTCTTTTTCTTTCTTTCCTCTCTCCTCCCTTAAATGGAACTTAAAACAAAAACACTATACGTCCCATTAAGAAAGTTTAGATTTAAATGGTTCATCATTAGATATGATTTAGATTTAGACATTATCCTGTAGGAAAAACACTTTTGTTGTCCCTTTAAATTTTTTGCTCTTTGTTTGTGAATATTTTTTATTATAGTCTTTTGATAGTGTGATTAGGTCCGTTCTCCTTTAGAATTGCAGTACCTACCATTGTGTTATGTAATCATATTTTGTATTCTCTATTAATGCAGTGTTGCTGACCTTGCCTCTAGCATTATTGGTGGAAAAGGATGAATTTGTTATAATTTCCGCTTTTAACATACTGGTTTGTGCTTTTTTATTCCTCTATTTTGAATAAAGGTTCCATATAACCATGGTGCTGGCAGGATTTTTTCCCTTGAGATTCTTGCATTATTTTGCAGTTCCTGGCTATATTTCTATTTAAACAATGTTTCATCTCTATTTAATGGTCTATTGTGTCGTAATAGAATGCAGCTAAAGGTTAGGTTTGTAATGGGAGTGGATTGTCTAATTTTCTGGTGTCAATGTTACTACTTAGTTTGGAGCGTTTCGTGTAGTGCATTGATTTTTGGCATAATATTTTTTAGCCAAAAGGATATTTGTTGAGCTTTTATCTTCTTCAACTCCTGAATCTTTATGTTTCCCCATGTTGACCTTGATAGAGTGTCCTGTTCACTGACTTCTTGGTATCAGCATTCCAGTTTCTTGTTCACTGACTTCGTGTCGTATCAACATTAAGAATGAATTATTCACTGGATAAAACCTCCCTTATCAAATAATGGCTTT